TGAACTACAGTCCTATTTATAGGACCTAGTGACAACCACCCTATAACTACTAGATTGAGGTAGTTATTGAAACTACCATATAACTACTAGATCATAATTGAGGTGGTTATTTAAATCATCCTGTAACCACTAAATCATGATAATTATCTAGATAAATAACTATGAATCAAATCTCAACACTCCCCCTTGATTCATAGTTGCATACACCAATTTGCGACATAAAATAAATATTCTTTCGAACTGGAAGTGATTTGGTGAGGATATCCGCAACTTGTTCATCCGTTCCATAATACTTCATTGTTATGACTCCACTTGCCTGAAGTACTCTTTCGATCATCTAAAGCTCCTACACATCACTATCAATGAAACTAAATAATTTGCATTTAAATTTTGTTTTGAACATCCATTTTAACCCAATCGCTTTCTTTTCTTTCGGTAGATCCATTAGCTCCCAAGTTTCATTCTTCTTAATTAACTTGATTTCCTCCTTCATTATTTTTCTTCATTCCTCTTTTTTAACTACTTCCTCAAAAGTTGTCGGATCTGAAATAAACAAAGCAATGTTGAGTTATAAATTTTTGTCAGTGATCTGAAATTTCTTAGAGGGGTTTCATCTAAGGAATCCAAATTTGAACTGCTATTGGGTGAGGTTGACGATGAACTTGTTGGAGCAGGATCTGTCACTTGATTCTGCGGAGTGTCTAGTTCTGCTGGAATCTGTATTTGTGTTTCACCTTTATTGGTCTCCCAATTCCAACTTGCCCTTTCATCAAACATAACATTTCTGTTAATAATAACTTTGTCACTAACAGGATTATATAATCGATATGCTTTCGATTGTAAAGAATAACCAATTAAAATGTATTTCTCTGATTTTTCATCAAGCTTGTGATGATTTTGTGAATTCACCAAAGCATAAGCAATACAACCAAAAAATCTTAGATGTCTAACACTTGGTTTCATACCATACCAAGCCTTAAAAGGAGTTCGATTCATAACAGCCTTTGTTGGTGAAATATTTAACAAATAAACTGCTGTTGCAACTGCTTCTACCCAAAATTGATTTGGAAGATGTTTTCCTTTAAGCAAACTTCTTGTCATTTCAACAACAGTCCGATTCTTACGTTCAGCTACATCATTTTGCACCGGTGTATATGGTGCTGTTAATTCTCTATGAATACTATTTTCTTCACAAAAAGAATTAAACTCATTAGATAAAAATTCACCATCTCTATCTGTCTGAAGTATCTTTATATATCTACCACTTTGTGTTTCTACAAGTGCCTTAAACTTTCAAAAATTGTCAAATGTTTCATATTTTAATTTCAAAAAATATACCCAACTCATGCGACTATAATCATCAGTAAACAATAAAAAATATTGACTTTCACCAAATGATTTTGTATTCATAGGTCCACATAAGTCAGCATGAATTAATTCAAGACAATTAGATGCTCTCCATGCTTTTCCAATAGGAAATGATTTTTTACTTTGTTTCCCATAAATACATCTTTCACATACATCAAGTGTATTAATCTTGGGCAATCCGAAAACCATTCTTTTTTGACTTAACAACCTTAAACATTTAATATTAAGGTGTTCATATCTTAAATGTCATAAACTAGACTCATTCTTTTGAGTTATGATAAGCGCATACCTTTCAATATTTGACACATCAAGTGGAAACATCTTGTTTTGTGTCATGCAAACATTTACTATAATCAAACCAGATTTTTTATCTCTAATAATGCATGAACCATCATCAAATGTTACTGAATATCCATCATTTACTAATTGTCCAACTCAACAAGTTATGTGATAAAGTAGGAACAAAGAAAACATTGTCAAGGTATTTTACCTTCCCTTGATTTGTCTTCACCTCAATTGTTCATTTCCCTTTCACTTGGATTTGCTTGCTATCTCCAAGTCTAACTTTCAACTTATGATTTTCATCAATATCTCTAAATATTGATTTTATGCCTGACATATGATTAGAACATCCACTATCCAAAAACCAAATATCATTTGAGATATTATGAACATGTGAATGAGTCACAAACAACTTACTATTTTCTTCATTTTTCTTCATATAGCTTGCTTGCTTTTCTCTTTTCCGGCAATCTGCCTTCATGTGACCAAACTTTTTACAATAGTAACATTGAATTCCACTTTTGTAATTTTTTTTATCATAATTTGATTGCCCTTGTTCATCATGCCCATCAAAGTGTCCTCTTCCTCTTCCATTTCCTCTACCACGAAATCCTCCTCTGTCACGTCCTTTTCCTGCTGATTTTTTATCTTCTTTTGAAGTAGAAGACTCTCCCTTAATCTGAAATGTTTTTTCTTCACTTTTTTCAAGTGATCTATTCAACCTTACTTCATGTGCTTACAAGGAACTCATTAGTTCATCAAATGAATAAGTAGATAAATCTTTTGATTCCTCAATTGCGGTAACAACATGATCAAATTTCGGAGTTAAACTTCTCAAAACTTTTACAACAATTATATGATCAGGAAGATGTTTACCATAAGATTTCATTTGACTAACAATTTCAGTCACTCGAGAAAGAAAATCTTGCACCGATTCATTGTTTTTCATGAACAAAATTTCAAACTCACGACGGAGGGTTTAAAGTTTTACCGTAATCACCCTTGATGAGCCTTGAAATTCATTTTGAAGTATCAACCAAACTTGCTTTGAGGTTGTCGCTGTTGCAATTCTTGAGAAGATCGTCCCATGTACAACTTGTTGAATGAAAAACAATGTCTTTGAGTCCTTCTTTCTATTCTCCCTCAGCCTGATTTCGTCATCTGGATCTGCATATCCATTCTCTATTAAGTCTCAAAGATCTTGAAACTTGAATAGAGTCTTCATCTTGATACTCCAAAATTCATAGCTTTTACCCGAGAAAATTAGGATAAGGGGTTGAGACATGGAATTGCCGTTAAAAGCCATAATGCCTAGTTCAGATTGAAACTAGGCTCTGATACCACAAATGTTAGGGATGGAGGAGAATGTTAGGGATGGAGGAGTAAGCTCTGATACCACAAATGTTAGGGATGGAGGAGTAAGGAAAAAACAGAATACTACGATGCAAGTAAAAGAATCCTTTTGATTCAAGAAAACTGATGTAGTATTAAAAAATAGGAGGATTGATAAGAACACTTACAAGATACCAAATGCACACAGACTCTCTATCTATGTTTTTCTCTACTTGCTTCATGAACTGCGGTCCTATTTATAGGACCTAGTGACAATCACCCTATAACTACTAGATTAAGGTAGTTATTGAAACCACATATAACTACTATATTTAAATTATCCTGTAACCACTACCACCCTATAACTACTAGATCATGATTGAGGTGGTTATTTAAATCATCCTGTAACCACTTAATCATGATACTAGATCATGAGATGGTTATTTAAATCATCCTGTAACCACTTAATCATGATAACTATCTAGATAGATAACTATGAATCAAATCTCAACAGTGCAATCTAAGCATTATATGAGAGCAAACAAGTTGATGAACAAATCCATCAAGAAAATATGATCAACAAACAACAGGTAACATCAGCAGATTTGAAGCATTGAGGAAGCCTTCAGATTTCTGATCCATATTTAGCTTCATACTCGTATACAAGTGCAGTCTTGAATTTTGTTTTCTGGGATCAACTGCTAGAAAACATAATGATTGGCAGATAGATAGGTCAGCTCAAATTGTCAGCAGAGTTGCGGATCTCATATCAGGGCCTCGGTTTATCTGTATGCAACCCATCATTTACATTTTCATCAAATCTAATATTCAATCCTTTATTTGAAGTTTTGCACTTACACACATATTTAAGTGAAACTATGAGTGTATGTATGAAATCAGAGCTCGAGCATTCAAAGCTCAAAACTTTGAGCTGATATTTATTACTCATTCTCAAGCCTGAAACTATGATGTAGTGGGAAAAGCATGGCTATAAATCTTAGTAGCATATGTATGAAATCAGAGATTGAGCATTCAAAGCTCAAAACTTTGAGCTGATATATATTACTCATTCTCAAGCCTGAATTTTTTGATGCAGCGGGGAAACCATGTTAAGGTAAGTTAAGCATGGCGCAATCACAAAACCATCAGCTTCGGAATGTATATACATAGAATGCTGCCATGAATCCTCCTTATTCAGTACCACAGTGGTCGATCTAAATCTTGCTTGATATTAAGGGTTTGCAAGATCAGATATAATTCTTAGTGATAAGGATTTCCCTTAGTCATGCACTCCTTACAAGGTATCTGCAATCTGCATCTGTTGAGGTTTTCCACCTCCTCCTCTCAAACTCAGATTAAGGTTCGCTTGTTCCCTCTCCCGTCGTCTTCTCATCCGTCACCTCGTCTCCCCGCGACGGTCACGGCTCACCCCTCTTCGCTCCCGTCGTCAGGTGGCTCACGCCGTCTAGTATCTAAGAGTCTGCACCAACAAGCACGTAGGTCGCCTTGACTTCCCGGCGGACGACGTGAGGACTTGTCTCCTGGTGCAAATACTTAACGAAGAGTGTTCATGAGATGGACGATGATCATAGCGCATGGTCTGATGGCGATCTGCGTCTTATCGAGCCAATCGAGAAGCTGTCCTCGGCCATGGAGACGGCTGAGGAGGCTGCAATACCGTGGCATGTACTCGGCCTCTCCTCTCAGCATGATTTGTACCCCATGAAAAGTAAGGAAACATTGGTTTGCAAGGCACAATTGCAACGAGCTATCTCTATCTCAGAGTGACGAGTTGCTTCGACTGTTCTCTTTGTTCATACGATAGACTGAAAGCTAACTTCTCATTATTTAAATATTACCAACTAAGTCTTTGGATAGCGTTTATAATTAATTCTATTCCCTAAAGGAAAGGCATCCATCCGACCCGTATCGTTAACGGGTCGCGAATTATATTTTCTCAAGCATCCGACCCGCAACTTTGACGGCTCGCCCTAACTAAAGGTCTCCGAGACCTTTTGTTGCGGCAGCCCCTCTCCCTCTCGTTGCGGCAGCCATTGCGCTTGGGAAGCCCATCCGCCGTCACCGGAGTCCAGTCGAACTGCGGTTTCCACCGTTGGCCGTCGCCATCCGCTTCTCCCGTTTCGAAGGTGCACGCTTCGAAGGTATCCTCCCTCCTCTTGTCCTCTCTTGGATCGCATCGGCGGTGTCTTCGCGACGCCGATCGGGCTCGCATTAGTGGTTCTCTAAGCGATCGAGCTTCTCTACCTCCTTTCAGAGAAGGAAATGTGTTCTTGCGCCTTTCAACGCCTTCAATCCACAAAGTGTGAGCGTAAACGGCAGTCTTGCTTGGGAAAATGGACCTTGATTAGGGCTTTTCTTTTGTTTGCCTATCGAGTTTGGGAAAAGAGGTTTTGAGAGGGTAGGAGAGGACGGGGATGAAAGAATCTTGAACCTTGTGGTGGGCTTTCTTCTCTTTGCGTGTCGAGTTGGGCAAAACTGATTGAGAGGGTAGGGACCATGGAGACGATATATACGTCTAGGGTTTGCTTTTGGCTTTCTCTGCCGTCGTTGCCTTGTCTTCTGGTTTCTGACGAGCTTGGAAGGATTCCATTAAGAGAACGAGCTCTTAAGGCGATACAACGTTGTTTCTTGAAGGATGATATCTTTAAACTGGTATCCTACGATCTTAGTACAACAAGAATCTTTGTCAGCATGCAACAGAATGCCCCATTTTTCATTCGAAAAGGATACGATGCCTTGAAGCATCTTGGATTAGGTTCCATATCTCACACATGATATTCCATTGAGATAGACTAGTCAATTCGATAAACGTAATACATGACTTATTTAAGATCCATATTAGTATGGTGCTTTCGGTGTCCCAAAGTCAAGAAAGGAAACTAGATCAAGATTGTTTATAATGGAGGACTGCATTTTATCTGAATGTTCTTTTATCATTGTTCTGACTTGTTTTTCCATCTGCAGAGCCTATGGTCCTGTATAGTTTATATTGGTAATGCTTTATTTCAGTCTAGAATTTGATTTTAGTTTTGTGTAATATTTTATTCTCATAAGTGATTTTTTTACATTTATTCTTTTTCTGGAATCACAACTTCATCTAGAATGGCATGCCTGAAATAATACAGATCTGGAGTTTGATTTTTTGGTTTGTGGTTATTGGTTATCATTAAGAAGATTCTTGACTCCAACAAAAGCAGGCCTCTTGGCTACTGTATTGTTGCAGCTTCATTGCTTTTTCTCAATCAAGATCATGCTCTTACATCTTCAATATTCAGTCGACTTTCACGTTGGCTTTACACCTTGTTTGTCTGTGCTCATTAGCTTAGCTATCAAGAGAGAATAATATTAACTGTATAACAATTGCAATTTAAAAGAATACATTTTTCTAGCTGTTCATCAATATGCCTATTGTTTTATCCTTCTTACATTTGAGGAGTTACTTTATATGAATAATACCAGAATTGGGTAATAATATCTAGTGGTGACAATTAAGCATCTGTTACTTGGCTTCATTGTTGATTTCAAATTTGTGGATTCAGAGGCTTTTCTTTGCGTTATGTTATGCTATAAGGCCCACAAAAATCTTTCTCATGAGCAACAGGCAGTATGCTGATTTTATGTATAGCAAGGTTTTGTGGTTTCATTTTATTGCATTAGACCCTGGTCTTTACTTCTGAAGGGCCACATAAGTGCAAGAAGGTATACAATTACATTTTGAGGTTTTGTCCTAGCCAACCTCTAGGCATCTATTCAAATTCATCTTTGGTCTAGTGTGCACTCATGACTGAGCTGAGTTGACACGGTTGCTGCATTTTAGATCATGTACATCGAGAGGCTTTGGAACCTTGCAGCTGCCGTGAGGTTGCTGCCAAAGCAATTTTTTGTTGTCTGTCTGGTTTTCTTTTCTGCATGTACACAACCATATATGCAACTAGAGAAAGAAAAACTAGCGACGGTCATTATATAATGAAGAAACAAGCAATCCTTCTTTCCCTCTCTAGTATAATATTCTTTGTCACTAGTGTTCTATTATTTTTCACTGATGACCTTTTACCTCAAGCATCTATATGATGTTCTTTAATGTTCAATATGACATTAGTGAGCATCTGGAGACTTGAAGGTCATTAATTTGCACATACTGAGTAGTTTCTGTAGAGAGACATCTATGATCCTTCTTTATCGCTCATGTTTAGTCGAAAACACAGTTTCTTTTGATATTTGGCTCCATGATCATTCAAGTTGCCGTTCTGACAGTACCTCGCTCTCGAAGATTTATTTTGATCTATTCTGGTCTAGTTTCTTGTGAATTTTTATTTTCTTGTTTGCCATGAGCTGTTGCGTCCAGGAAAAGACTTACTGCAACATTTGTGAATAGAACTCCGTGTAAGTTCATAGCTTTACTAAGCATGAGCTAATTTGTTTGAAAATTGTTGCTTATTTTATTATCTTGAGTTTGCTGTTGTTACCCTCATTTCATCTGTGAGTACCTTTTTGCTCCATCACTTGATTTAATTTCTGTCTCCTCTGAGGATTTGTTTTTAATATCATGTGGCTTTATACACTGTACCTCTTTGTTCTAATTTTACCATAGAGGTTGAAAATGGCTGGAGTTGTCGAAGCACAGAATAGACAAGCTAGACCTGGACCACTTCCTCAACCCAGAGGTCCTCCCCCAACAGCTCGCTCACGTGAACCCATAGATCGTGAGAAGGTACACCTTCTCTTCCATTTCATCGTGATATCTTTTCCTCTCTTTTTCACTTTGTGAATCTGAAAATTAGAAGTAGCATCTGACAATTAATTGTTTTATTTCAAATTTTGATTCTCCTTTCCTTTGTCTTCTAATTGTTGCTCATGTTTCTTTCTTGTATACAATTTTATGTTGCCTAAGAAACCAAAAAAAAAAGAACTATAGATATATTCTTTGGCCTGAATATTGAAAAGGGTAAATAGAAAGATTACTGGGCTGCGAATTAGCTGTTAAATTACCAAAAAGTACTTCTAGTAGGGAGAATTATATTAGACCCCTCTGATTCTGGCCAAAGAGAATGGAAGGCAGAAAAGAAACCAAAAGCTTTCTTTGAATGTTGTCCTAAAATTATAATTGCAAAAAAAGTAATAGAATTACATTTTGTGACCTAAAAGTTTGCTTATAACTATGAGGTATTTACAATTCACAGTGGTTTAAATTGATCAAAGCAAGGTTCTATTGTGGCTGGCTGATTCTATATATCTTTCTTTTTCCTGCTCGTTTATGATTTCCTAATTCACCTAACATTTAAGTAATTTTCACACTGTCACCCTTCTGGCTGTTTTTCATTCACTTATAACCTCATATTTGGTCCTTATTAGTTATATTTTGTGCTATTTCTTTTTGCTGCATGATTCTGCCCTGCACATGTCCAGCACAAAACTTACTAGGGTCTTAACCTACCATGTTAGTAATTTGCTGCAACACCTTCCATGGTCAAAATTGGTCTGCATATGACCATATTGCAACACCCACCTTTGTAGCATGCTTTCCTTGGATGGTCACTTGACTCCTTTCTCCTTTTTAATTTGTTGGTTGATTAGAGTTCATAGCAATTGCATGGGATGGATTTGGATCTGCTTACCACGATATCAATATCTTTCAAATATCAGTAGATAAATATTACAATTACTACGATATCATAGTTTTGAATATTAGAAACTTGGTTCCTACAAAACTTCCGAACCACAGATTCTGAAGGGGATGATCTAGTGCTTATGCAGGATTCCTGCTACTAAAGAATGAAGTTCCTTCATGTGTTCCATTATATCTAATTCAATAAACCGTTGATTGCTTGATTGCAAGAATTATAGGTATATCGAAGTAAGTAGCTGCTTAGATTGTAACCTAGCTTAATCATTCCATTGTTGTGAACATCACAAAGTAGACCGTCCGCATAAGAACCATATTTATGGATCATGGTCAGCAGTCAACTCATTTTCCTTTCTCTTGTGTTGGTCTAGCTTTGGTTTTCTACTCCAATTATGATCAGTTTATAGAATCTCTCTTTATTCAGAACTAATCCAATTCAGCTATAATCTACTGTTGAAAAATATCTCACCAATTAATGTTTTCTTGATTGATTTACATTGATTCAGTAGTAAATGCTTTTATCTTAATTGCTCTAGCAATGGTTTTGTCCCACTCCAATCTAAATGCCAGTTTCTCTTTCATTATATTTTTTGTAGAACAAGAGAACTTGACGTTGGACTTCTGTCCCATGCAAATAGGAAGCATTAGACTATAAGATCTTCATTTCAGCTTTTTGATTGAGAAGAGGTTTTTAGATTAGTATCTAACAAAAATGTTCTTTATGTAGGGTTGGATATTTTTGTCTGTTTGTTTGGTTTTAATTTTTGATACCTGCATTTAATTTTATACTTAGATTTGAGCATAGTGATATTTTCCTTTGAAATGTCACTTCCTTTCTGATTCAAGTTATATTCTTACAAAGTGTTGTACTAACATATTTCTTCTTGAAATTGCAGACTTGCCCTCTTTTGCTTCGAGTATTCACTAAGGTGTGTATGCCTTTGGTAACTTTTGTAGATGTTGAAAATTTTCAGGAGTGATGTGGCCTCTCACAAACCTGATTTGTAGTTCATGTATTCAAATTCGTTTGTATTGAAAAATACATCTGATTATATCCTTATGATGGAAGAACTTTTCTTAATATTGCTGTATCATGTTGTGGTGTGACTACTTGTGACTCTGACAGGTTGGTGGGCACCATCCAGCTGAAGACTTTGCGGTGAGAGGAAAGGAACCAAAAGATGAGGTCCAGATTTATACATGGAAGGATGCTACACTTCGAGAACTTACTGACCTGGTAACGGTTTCTCAGAAGTCCTCCTTTTCATAGTGCAAAACTCTTGGAATATTTTTACCAAAATTTCTGTCATTTCATAGGTCAAAGAGGTTTCTCAGGAAGCAAGGAAAAGAGATGCTAAGCTCTCATTTGCTTTTGTGTACCCGGACAAGAACGGCCGTTTTGTGGTGAGGCCGGTAAGGAAGCTGTCTCTTTATTTAGAATAAACTTAGTCATTGTTTAACTTTATAATCTTCTGTTGTTACACTGTTTTCTTTCATCATAAGCTATTTCTTTTGCCATTGTTGACATTGAAGGTGGGTATGACCTATTCACATGGAAACGGGAGACGACTGGATGATGCAAAGACGCTAGCTGAACTTGGCTTCCAGGTAAGTGGCTGACGACTATTCTGGCACCGCTTGCAATTTGCCCCCACAGCGTAGACTAATCTATTGACATCCTCTTATTGTGAAGATTGGAGACTATTTGAGTGTTGCCATCCTGTAGAGGAGAGATTGTTTGGCTGGAGTGGATACCTGTGTGTGATGTGATTGGCCCGGCAACTATCTACTGCGACTTAGGGAGTGGGAAGAATAAGGTAGGGTGATAGGGCTGTTATTGAACTCTTCTTCCAGCTGTTGTAGCTGTACAAAATGCTAGCTTGTAAGAATGCTTCCAAATTTGTTAAGCTTCAAAAACGTATTCGGTGGTTGGTTTATGTGCTCAAGTGATCTTTGTTCGCCATCTCATTTCCTGGTTTCCTACTTTGGATCCCACAGCATGCTTTTAGTTTACCATCTCAACATGAATAACAATGTCAATGCAAAACAGTGCCAGATAGATGCCTAAGAGCTCAAGACGAACGTGAGAGAGATTAGCAGGAAGACAGACTTATTTGACTACTGCTTTCATCATCATTTGCTTCAAGATTTAAAAAAGAAAGAGAAAAAAAAAACTATTGCACCATGGAGGGAGGGTAACCATTCATAGCCAGAAGACAAAAGCGTTAAGAAGTATGTTTGGAACAAAAGTCTCTTTACATCCACGATTTTGCCAAAAATTTTCAGCAGAAGAATAAAATGCAAAGCAGGCATTGCATATCTCAAGTTGTACACACACTCGGAGGTCCCCAAACGAATGCAGAATGGAAAAGCGTATCAGATAAATGGGGACGTGCGAATAGCAACTTGGTTGTTTGGTCCTGATTATTGAATCTTAAGACACATTATACTGAAGGAACCACAAAGACCCCATGGCACACATTTCTCATTAAGCTTTAAAATTCCATCCTATTCTTTTGTACTGTTAAATTGGCCATGGAGTCTTGCCTGACGAGCACAGCGGGCAAAGATTTTCACCACTCGGGCACATTTCAGAGGATCTGTCTCATGTTCCTTGTAACAGTTTAGGCAAGCCTCTCTCTCAGCTGTACAGGGGGTGGGATTTTGATAGGGCAGCTTGAACTCCTTGTCCCGCAGCTCCTTTGCTCTCTGAGTCAGCTCCTGAATCATCTTATCTCCCTGCTTTTCCAGTTTCTCCACTCTTCTTTCACTCTCCTCTAGGACTGAACGGATAGCTTCCAACTCTGAGATCACAACTGGGGGTGGAGGGGGTGCTGCGAAGAACACAGGAGGCTGAAGCGGCGGCCATGCCCCACTTGGGCTGCTCTTCTGTGTGCCAGGAGCTGGCTTCACATTGCTTTGAGGCTGATGTGGTTCGTCTGAGACCCTTGCCTTGGGTTTCTTGGTTTTCTTCTTCACTTTGTTTTCACCACCGGCTAGTTGATTGATTAAGTTCGAACTTATCTGAATTGTATATGCATCCACCATTTCTGACTGCAACAGAACATTCAAAAGTTCAAATTTCAAAATATGCTTTCATAAATAAATAAAAAATTAATGTAGTCAAAGGTGCTAGGCGTCAAAATGCTCCGTGCACTATATGCTGGCTTAGACACTTGCTTGAGCGAAGCGAGAGTCTCACGAATATTGAAATTATAAATAATATAAATAAGGAAAAAATATGATCATTAAATTAAAAATGACTCCCATACAAAGTCCCATCGAGGGGACAAGCATAAAGGAGGAGGGGGAGGGGAGCTACCGAGGAGGCTTAACGAGGGGCAATGGAGGAGAAAAAGAGAGTGACAATGGGAGGGAAGGAGAGGGGGGCGAAGCATGAAGGAGGGGGCTGTCAACCGAGGCTCAGCGAGGGCGATAACAGAGGAGGAGGAAGGGGTAAAATCGGGGAGGCTCGGTAGGGTTGGCGGAGGAGGAGAAAGACGGAGAGCGATACCAAAGGGGAAGCAAAAGCGAGAGGCGCATCACCGGGAGGGGGTGAGAGGAGGTACCACCATTTGCGAGAGGGGAGGCACCGCCTAGAGGGTACAGATGGTGCATATTTGAGGCTGTCAATATAATCCTTCATTTCATGAATACCTCTCTTTCGATGGAGTTCCCAGCATCAGTTAGAATAGCTGCAAGCTTTGAAGTTATTAGGATTGACAAGCATATGTGACAAACAAATCTATTGATCCGATACCTTTTGCTACAATTTTAAGGACAAAACTTAGGCTACAAGGTGCATCTCCACATTAAGTATAGGACATCAAACAAACTAAACTGAGAGCATTGCATGTCGATACTTCAACTTCTATATCAGTAGAATTCTTAAATGCCACAAGTGGCATATCTGCTAAGGGACTTGAGGACTTGACAATGAACAAGGTCAAGCTCCAAATGGTCCACACTTCTGGCAGATGCATAATCCCTCTGGGTAGCTTGTGCACCATAAATTGGAAGTATGGCACTTCAAGAAAATATTGAAGGCACAGTTCCCATAATTAGTAACAAATTCTATAAACCATAAGAATAAGACATTGGAAACCTGCTAGACCAAAACGTTGGTTTTCCGACATAGTGGGTTTGCTAAAATTAAACCAGACTCTTTTTGGCCAATCTGATCCCAAGCCAATTTAACTCAAATAATTACTAAAACGTAAAACCTACCAAACTAGTAATGTTATCATGAGAGTAATTAGTGAATGGTAAACGAGTTGCTAATTT